GAGACACGGTTGAGGGCGTTCTCGACCACCGAGGAGGGGAAGTTACGGTCCTTGAAAAACGAGGACAACTGAGATGTACGGGAGTGGAATGCCTCATCCTGGGAGCAGATGCGGCGGAGGCGAAGGAATTGGGAATAGGGGATAGCATTTTTGCAGGAAGGTGGGTGGGAGGAGGAGTATTCTAGGTAGCTGTGGGAGTCGGTGGGCTTGAAATGAATATCGGTTTCGAGGTGGTTGCCCGATATGGAGACAGAGAGGTCCAGGAAGGGGAGAGAGGTGTTAGAGATGGTCCAGGTAAATTTAAGGTTGGGGTGGAAGGTGTTAGTGAAGTGTATGAACTGTTCGAGCTCCTCGTGGGAGCACGAGGCGGCACCGATACAGTCATCAATGTAACGGAGGAAGAGGTGGGGTTTAGGGCCGGTGTAGGTACGGAAGAGGGATTGTTCCACGTAACCTACAAAGAGGCAGGCGTAGCTTGGGCCCATGCGGGTACCCATGGCTACCCCCTTTGTCTGTAGGAAGTGGGAGGAATTGAAAGAGAAGTTGTTGAGTGTGAGGACGAGTTCGGCTAAGCGGATGAGGGTGTCAGTGGAGGGGGACTGGTCGGGCCTGCGGGACAGGAAGAAGCGGAGGGCCTTAAGGCCATCTGCATGGGGAATGCAGGTGTAGAGGGACTGGACGTCCATGGTAAAGCTGAGGTGTTGGGGACCGGGGAATTGGAAGTTCTGGAGGAGGTGGAGGGCGTGGGTGGTGTCACGGACATAGGTAGGGAGTTCCTGGACCAAGGGGGAGAAAATGGAGTCGAGATAGTTGGAGATCAGTTCGGTGGGGCAGGAGCAGGCGGAGACAATGGGTCGACCAGGGCATTCAGGTTTGTGGATTTTGGGAAGGAGATAGAAGCGGGCAGTGCGAGGTTGGGGAACGATGAGGTTGGAGGCCGTGGGTGGGAGGTCACCTGAGGTGATGAGGTTGTGGATGGTTTGCGAGATGATGGTTTGGTGCTCAGGGGTGGGGTCATGATCAAGGGGGCGGTAGGAGGAGGTGTCGGAGAGTTGGCGTCCGGCCTCGGCGATGTAGAGGTCAGTGCGCCATACTACAACTGCACCTCCCTTGTCCGCAGGTTTTATGGTGAGGTTGGGATTGGAGCGGAGGGAGCGGAGGGCTGCACGTTCTGCTGGGGGAGAGGTTGGAGTGGGTGAGAGGGGTGGAGAGGTTGAGGCGATTGATGTCTCGACGGCAGTTGGAGATGAAGAGGTCGAGGGAGGGTAGGAGGCCTTGGGGTGGTGTCCAGGAGGAGGGGGTGTGTTGGAAGCGGGAGAAGGGGTCAGTAGAGGGAGGGTTAGGTTCACGGTTAAAGAAGTAAGCGTGGAGGCGGAGGCGGCGGAAAAACTGCTCTATGTCCAAGCGTGAGCGGTATTCGTTGATCTGTGGGTGGAGGGGGACAAAGGTGAGCCCTTTACTGAGGACTGACCGTTCGTCCTCAGTAAGGGGTAGGTCTGGGGGGATGGTGAAGACTCGGCAGGGCTGGGTGCTGCTTTTAAAGAGAGGTTGATTAGAGTGCAGGACAGACATGTCCCTGTGAAAATGAGAGATAGAAAGAGCAAGATTAGGGAACCATGGATGACAGGTGAAATTGTGAGACTAGCAAAGAGGAAAAAGGAAGCATACATAAGGTCTAGGCGACTGAAAACAGACAAAACATTGGAAGAATATCGGGAAAGTAGGACCAATCTGAAAAGAGGAATTAAGAGAGCTAAAAGGGATCACGAAATATCTTTAGCAAACAGGGTTAAGCAAAATCCCAAAGCCTTTTATTCATACATAAGGAGCAAGAGGGTAACTAGAGAAAGGGTTGGCCCACTCAAGGACAAAGGAGAGAAGTTATGCGAGGAGTCAGGGAAAATGAGTGAGATTCTTAATGAGTACTTTGCGTCGGTATTCACTGAAGAGAGGGACATGATGGATGTTGAGGTTAGGGATAGATGTTTGATTACTCTAGGTCAAGTCAGCATAAGGAGGGGGTATTCTAAAAGGCATTAGGGTGGACAAGTCCCCAGGTCCAGATGGGATCTATCTCAGGTTACTGAGGGAAGCGAGAGAGGAAATAGATGGGGCCTTAACAGATACCTTTGCAGCATCCTTAAGCATGGGTGAGGTCCCGGAGGACTGGAGAATTGCTAATGTTGTCCCCTTGTTTAAGAAGGGTAATTATAGACCGGTGACATCAGTGGTGGGGAAGCTGCTGGAGAAGATACTGAGGGATAGGATCTATTTACATTTGGAAGAAAATGGACTTATTAGTGATAGGCAGCATGGTTTTGTGCAGGGAAGGTCATGTCTTACCAACTTGATAGAATTCTTTGAGGAAGTGACAAAGTTGATAGATGAAGGAAAGGCTGTAGATGTCATATACATGGACTTCAGTAAGGCATTTGATAAGGTTCCCCATGGTAGGCTGATGGAGAAAGTGAAGTTGCATAGGGTCCAGGGTGTACTAGCTAGATGGATAGAGAACTGGCTGGGCAACAGGAGACAGAGAGTTGTAGTGGAAGGGAGTTTCTCAAAATGGAGAACTGTGACCAGTGGTGTTCCACAGGGATCTGTGTTGGGACCATTGTTGTTTGTGATATACATAAATGATTTGGAGGAAGGTACAGATGGTCTGATTAGCAAGTTTGCAGATGACACTAAGATTGGTGGAGTAGCAGATAGTGAAGGGGACTGTCGGAGAATGCAGCAGAATATAGATAGATTGGAGAGGTCGGCGGAGAAATGGCAGATGGAGTTCAATCAGGCAAATGCGAGGTGATGCATTTTGGAAGATCCAATTCAAGAGCGAACTATACGGTAAATGGAAAAGCCCTGGGGAAAATTGATGCACAGAGAGATCTGGGTGTTCAGGTCCATTGTACCCTGAAGGTGGCAATGCAGGTCGATAGAGTAGTTAAGAAGGCATACGGCATGCTTTCATTCATCGGACGGGGCATTGGGTACAAGAGTTGGCAGGTCATGTTACAGTTGTATAGGACATTGGTTCGACCACATTTGGAATACTGCGTACAGTTCTGGTCGCCACATTACCAAAAGGATGTGGATGCTTTGGAGAGGGTGCAGAGGAGGTTCACCAGGATGTTGCCTGGTATGGAGGGCGCTAGCTATGAAGAGAGGTTGAGTAGATTAGGATTATTTACGTTAGAAAGACGGAGGTTGAGGGGGGACCTGATTGAGGTCTACAAAATCATGAGAGGTATAGACAGGGTGGATAGCAAGAAGCTTTTTCCCAGAGTTGGGTACTCAATTACTAGGGGTCACGATTTCAAGGTGAGAGGGGAAAAGTTTAAGGGAGATATGCATGGAAAGTTCTTTACGCAGAGGGTGGTGGGTGCCTGGAACGCATTGCCAGCGGAGGTGCTAGAGGCGGGCACAAAAGCGTCACTTAAGGTGTATCTAGACAGATACATGAATGGGCAGGGAGCAGAGGGATACAGATCCTTGGAAAATAGGCGACAGGTTTAGATAGAGGACCTGGATCGGCGCAGGCTTGGAGGGCCGAAGGGCCTATTCCCATGCTGTAATTTTCTTTGTTCTTTGACAGCGGTTCTTTATTTGTGAAGTTCAACGGGCTTTGGTAGTAATCTCATGACCTTGTTGTTACTAGACTAAGTCCTGTAGACCCTCTATCAAATCTCTGAATCAGAATACCAGTACAGAATGGATAGGGAAAAGTCTTCCATCAGTGGAAGCCAGATGGCACAGTTTTAAGATAATTTATAAAGAAGCAGTGGCGACACCTGAGAAAACATTCTCATTCAGCTAGTTGTTAGGATCTGGAATTCACTCTTGTGAGAATTTGGAAGCAGGTTCAATTACAGTTTGAAAAGGAAATTGGTTCAACATCTAAAAAGGATGAATGTGCAGGGTTATGGGACGCATGCAGGGGAGATGGCTAGCACAGAACCAATGGGCCAACTGGCTTCTTGTTGCACTGTAACCAGCCTAATAATCTAATAATTTATGATTCCAAAATCCTGGAACTCATTCCCGAATAGTATTGTGGGTGTACACACACCAAACAGTTGTGACAGTTCCAGAAGGCAGCTCAGCACCACCATCTCAAGGGCAACTATTGTCATACAGAACAGAAACAGATCCTTCGGTCCAACATGTCCATGCAGTCCAGGAAATGGAACTCATCCCATTTGCCTGCGTTTGGCCCATATGCCTCTAAACCGTTCCTATTAAAGTACCCATGCAAATGTCTTTTAAATGTTCCAATTGTACCTGCCTCTACTAGGGATGGGCAATAAATGCTGGCCCAACCAGCGATGCCCATATCCTGTAAGTGAATGAATTAAAAATAGTACTTTTGGAAGAATTGGAATAATAATTTGGAATAATTAATTATTATTTATTGCAAAAAAACCCAGCAAAACTGTTGAGGCCCTTTATGTTTCAAGTATTCTTTCATGACCTCTTGACATTGTAATGCTGTCTCTATTTTAAGGGTATATGTTTAATTTTCAAGACGGTACAGATAATTTTTGTAAATAACCATGAACAAATATATCAGGTACTGTCCAAACGACAGTATGATGAAAGCTAGAGGAAGTCTTTTGGCGCCGTATTAGTGTTTCTACCTCTGGGACTCAGATCAAGTCTCACCTGCTGCAGACGTGTGTCATACAGGCTGATTAAAAATATCTATGCACCTGTCTATGATAAGCACATAATTTCTGCAAGTTCTCAATCTATCCGTCAGTTTGCTTACGCCGCTCGAAGGTACAAACCAAGGCCGTCCGACCGCGCATGCGCGCGTTTGGGATGACAAGGTGTGGAGCTGTTTGAACACTGCAGGCCAAGCAGCATCATAGGGAGACGGGGTGACGTCAGCGGCCGGCGGTCGGGTGAATACGCGTGCGTGGGGAGGGGGCGGTGCCGAGTGGCGCGGAGAAGGAAAGGAGTGCGCGTGCGCTGGAAGGAGCATGTGAGGTTTCGGGGCGAGGTGAGAAGGAGCCGTCTCCAGGGGCAACGGCCAGCGTGAAGGAGCGGGTAAAGCCGGCAAAAACTGTGTGATCAGAACCACTGAGGAGGCCTGGGCCTATACATCGAGTCAGTGCCTTTAAACCAAGGAGTCATCCTTTGTATATTTAGTCATTGATGACATAAAACCGTAAGAAATAGGAACAGGAGTAGGCCGTTCGACCCCTGGATTCTGCTCCGCCATTCAATAAGATCATGGCCGATTGGAGCTCCCTCACGACAACTTCCTTGCATTGGCATAGGGCGGGGGATCTCAATTTGGGAATGGATAACATGGGCCCCTGACTGTGGTAAAAACGGAAAGAACCGTGGATGCTGTAAATCAGGAACAAAAACAGAAATTGCCGGAAAATCTCAGCAGGTCTGGCAGCATCTGCGAAGAAAAAAAATCAGAGTTAATGTTTCGGGTCCGGTAACCCTTCCTCAGAACTGATGGTAGCTGGGAAAATGTCAATTTATATGCAGAAAATAGGGAGAGCAATGGGGTAGGGAGTAAACGATAGGATAGACCCCGAAAGGAGAGAAGAGCAGTTGGATAGACAAAGGAGTTGATAACGATTTGGCTAGGAGGGTGAATACATGTTAGTGGGGACTGTTAATGACTACAATAGGTAGTGTGTAATGGCAGGCTATGTGATAATAAGGCCTGATGTGTGTGAGGTAGGGGGCAGGTCATGGGAGAGTTTAGGCCCTAAAATTATTGAACTCGATATTGAGTCTGGAGGGCTGCAGGGTCCCCAAGCGAGGTGTTGTTCTTCCAGCTTGCATTGAACTTTGCTGGAATACTGCAGCAAGCCAGAGACACAGATGTTGGCCAGGGAACAGGGTAGTGTGTTAAAGTGACAGGCAACAGGTAGCTCAGGGTCTTTTTTGCGAGCAGAATGTAGATGTTCTGCGAAGCGGTCACCCAGTCTATGCTTTGTTTCCCCAATGTTGAGGAGACCACATTGTGAGCAGTGAATGCAGTAGACTAGATTCTGGGAAGTGCAGGTGAAGTGTTGCTTCACCTGGAAGGTATGTTTGGGTCCTTGGATAGAAGGGATAGGAGGAGGTAAATGGGCAGGTTTTGCACCTTTGCTGGTAGCAGGAAAAGGTGCTGTGTGGGTGTTGGGGGTGAAGGATGAGTTGACCAGGGTGTCCCGGAAGGAACGGTCCATGTGGAAGGCGGACAAGGGAGGGGAGGGGAATATGTGTCTGGTGGTGGCATCTCACTGGAGATTGTGAAAATGGTGTCTGATGATCTTCTGGATGTGGATGCTGGTGGGATGGTAGGTAAGGACAAGGGTAACCCTGTCGCTGTTGTGGGTGGGAAGAGAAGGGGTGAGGGCGGACATGCAGGAGATGGATCGGACCCGGTTGAGGGTCCTGTCGACAACGGTGCTGGGGAATCCTTGGTTGATGAAGAGAGTGGACGTTTCGGAGGCTCCCTTGTCGAAATTGGCTTCATCAGAACATACAAGATGGAGAAACTGAAAGAGTGGGATAGACTCTTTACAGGAAGCAGGGTGTGAAGATGTATAGTCCAAGTAGCTGTGGGAGTCAATGGGTTTATAGTGGATATTAGTGGCTAGTCTATCCTCAGAAATGGAAACAGAGATGTCGAGGAAGGGAAAGGAGGAGTTAGACCAAGTGAAAATGAGGTCAGGGTGGAAATTGGAAGCAAAATCGATGAACTTTTCCAATTCCGGATGAGAGAGGGAAGCAGCACCGATTATATCATCGATATATTGGAGAAAGAGTTGTGGGTGGGGGTTGGAATAGGACTGGAACAAGGAATGTTCCTCGTACCCCACAAAGAGACAGGCATAACTGGGGCCACCCTCTGACCTGAATAAAATGAGAGGAGTTAAAAGAGAAGTTGTTGAAGGTGAGGAGTTGTTGAGCTTGGCCATGCGAAGGAGGGTGGTGGTGGTTGGGTTCAGGTCTTTGCTCCAGGAAGAAACGGAGAGCCCTAAGACCCTCCTGGTGGGGAATGGATGTTTAAAGGGTTTGTACGTCCATGGTAAAGAGGAGATGACTGGAACCTGCAAACTGGAAATTTTGAAACTGGCGTAAAGCGTCAGAGGAATCACGGATTTACATGGGCAGGGATTGGACCAGGGAGAGAAGACTGAGTCAAGGTAGGAAGAGATGAGTTCTGTGGCGTAGGATCAGGCTGAAACAATGGGTCTCCACGGATAGTACTGTTTGTGGATTTTTGGAAGGAGGTAGAAGCAAGCTGTGTGGGGCTGGGGGACTATCAGCTTGGAAATAGTGGGGGGTGGTCACCAGATGAAATGAGATCAGTTACCGTAGTAGATACAATGGTCTGATGTGTCATGGTCGGGGGAAGATAGGAAGAGGTATCTGAGAGTTGGCGCTCAGCCTCTGCAATGTAGAGGTCAGTACTCCAGATGACAACAGCACCACCCTATTGGCAGGCTTAGTAACAAAGTCAGGGTTAGGTCCAAGTGCACGAAGTGCAGTCAGTTTGGAGGGAGATAGGTTGGATTTAGTGCAGGGGACAGAGAAATTGAGGCGACCAACATCACGTCAACAATGACTGTGATTGTGTGGGACCTCGGGCAGTTAGATCTAAACACTTTAGGAGCTGGGAATCTGATGTAATTTTGTTTTGTTTGGAGATATCTGCGCCGAGATGCATAAAAGTAATCAAAAGTTAAAGAAAAAATTTGGCTCATTAATGTTCTTTAGGGAAGGAATCTGCCATTTTTACCTGACCTAATCTATATGTGACTTCAGACCCACAGCAATGTGGTTGATTCTTAATTGCCCTCAGGGCAACAAATGCTGGCCCAGACAGTAATGCCCACATACAGTAAATGAATGTCCAACAAAAAATAAGTGGACATTGATAGCTTTCTGCAGAAATTTAGAGTTATTACAGAACAGGAGGCGGCCATGCAGTCTGTCGAGGCTGTGCAGGGTGCCTGCAAAGAATAATTTAGTTAGTCCTACTGCTCTACCATTTCCCGTTGTCTTTTAGCTCTTCTAGTACTCCTTCAATTCTGTCCTCTGTTATATACACTGTAGTGTGTAGTTTGCAAAATACAATTTGTTTTAGTTTCCCGATTGTGCCTCTTGATGCCTACTTTTTAATTTTATTTTTTTCATTCTCTAAATAATTTATGAGGCAATGCAGTGATATGGTGACATTGCTTTCTGTTATTGATTGATGTGAGGAATTTAGACTCACAGAAGTAAGTTTAGAAGAATTCTTCAATATCTTCAAGTGTTTATCAAGCCTCCATTAAATTTAAAGCGACAATACAAGGAAAGCATTAAATATCTAGACTGCACAGTATTTAACTTTGCACAAAACAACAGTCGTAGATTGACAACAAAATAACTGATACACACTTCAGTATAAACACAGATTCTAGATCAGTGAGGTCACAGCTAATGTGTTTCCACTGCATACTAACAAAGCTGGAAGATTTTAATCAGGCTATTACTATCTGTTTTACTGTATCTCAGATCTCAATATCAGATTTAATGATTGACAGTGTTCATTACAGACCACCTGCTGCAGTTTTGCCACTAGTAGCTCCTTAGCATATATGCAGCATTCTGCCAAAGATTCCATATTTCTTTGCAAGTAATTCAATACCTCGGTGATTTAACATATTTCTAACTCCTAGCTAGCTAAGTGTTCCTTTTTTGACAGTTTTGAAATTGCTCTGTCTTCTTTGTAGCCTCCCTCTCTCTATCCCTGACCTTTGTAGCCTGCTCAACCCCTTTTCAGCCTTCTCACCCTATTGCAACCTTGCTGTTTCTGTATCCCTTACCCATCGTGTCATCTCATGTCTTGCCGAAGCCCTGCTGTCTCCCACCATCATCTCTGCAACCCCTCTGTGTCCCTTCAGCACATTAACTCCACCCATCCCCCAAGCTACTTTCTTCCCCTATCCCAACTCCTGCAAACCAGGTTGGCACACAACCAGCTTAGCAAAATAGTGGCTCCCGACTCCCCTTCCTGGCATTTAACCTCCATTCTTGGCCCCAGGCTACTTGCCTCTGGGACTGCCTCACTTACTTTTCTTGCTCACTGCCCCCTCATTTGTCTTCTGCATTTGTTGCTGATGGGCTTACTAGGAAGTCTATCAGCAGCAAGCACAGGAGAGAATCAGGTCTTCAGCATTTCCTTCCATTATACTTACAGGGTGACTTTTTTTTCTGATTGTTTGCCCTCGTGTGGATTTTCCCAGGTGATTTGAGGATTTTGGTGGCACATTAGCCCATTGTTGTCATGAATTATTGAATACTTCCATTAAAAGTGCCTACAGTATGAAAATGTTTCATACCAGATTTTAAGTTTAAAATGTTGCGTAGTGTTTCTGTATGAACTTGATAAATAAGGATTTATTTTGTATATTTGCTACCCTTTGGCCACATAATATCATGTCATTAGGAGTTTTCAGTGGACCTAACATTTTAATCTGAATATTGTGATAAATATTCCCAATAGTGCCAGAATAACAGAAATTGTTGGAGAAACTCAGCAGGTCTGGCAGCATCTTGGGAAGAAAGCAGAGTTAACACTTTTATTCCCATGACTTTATCAGAACTGTTAGTAGCTAGGAAAAAACTGGTATTTATGCTGAAGCAGAAGTCGGGGAGAGGGTGTGAGGAAGAGGAGAGGTGAGCAGATAGTTGGAGATGGAGCCTAGAGTGGAGTTATATGAAAGGGTTAGGTAGACAAGGAAATAATGGATAGCAGGCTCAGGACAGAAGAAAAGTTGAATAAAAGAATAGAAAATAAAAACTGAAATACCTGCAGATGCTGAAAATCAGACACAAAAACAGAAATTTCTGGAAAAGCACAGCAGGCCTGGCATCTGTAGAGAGAAGTCAGAGTTAACGCTTTAGGCCTAGTGACCCTTCATCAGAAGAGATAATAAAACCAAGAGTGAGAAAATAGGTTAGCTATGCTGAATGCAACCATATAATGTGATAATGAGCTTGGGAGTATGTGAGGATGGGTGACTGTGCTAAAAACAATCCATGCC